TTTTTCATCAATTTTCATTTGACTTGAAAAGCAGAAAGAGAGGTGGAGCTCTCATTGGTGGCAGGGACCCAAGTGCTCGAGCCACTGCCTGTGTCCCTGAGAGAAACGTCAGTGGGAAGCTGGATTGGAAGCAGAATACTGGCAGCCAAACCCAGCACCCTCATGGGGGATACAGGCATCCAAGCTAGCCATTTGACCTCCTGTGCCACAAACCCTCCTGCAACAAAGCTTTTAAAAAACAAATCCAACAGCCTGCACCACTGCCTGCAGTGCCACCATCCCTTATGGGCACCGGTTCAAGTCCCAGCTGTTCCACTCTGATCCAGCTCTCTGGGAAAGCAGATGATGGCTCAAGTCCTTGTGCCCCTGCACCTGAATGGGAGACACAGAGGAAGCTCCTGGTTCCTGGCTTCCAATCGACCCAGCTCCAGCTGTTGGAGCTATCTGAGGACTGAACCAGTGGTTGGAAGACTTCTCTCTCTCTCTGCTTCTGCCTCTCTGAAACTCTGCCTTTCAAATAAATAAATAAATCTTTAAAAAAAAAAAAAAAAACAAAGACCTAATACTCAGAAAAAAAATCCAGGAGCCAATGTTGTGACATGGCAGGTAAAGCCACCACCTGCCTGGCAAGCATCCCAAATGGGCACAAGTTCAAGTCCCTAATGCTCCACTTCTGATCCAGCTCCTTGCTGATGTGTCTGGAGGCAGCAGAAAATGGCCCAAGTACTTGGAAGTCCCAGGTTTTCGCCACATCTGCAGGTCAGGAGCCTGAGTGCTACAGGCTCAAGGTCTCTCCTGAGGTTACATGGTGCCATCTGGTGTGCTGCCGTCTCAGTTCCTTGTGGCTGTAGGGCTGCATCCCTGTTTTATACCTGGCCTGGGTGGTTTGCTCGGAAGCTCCTGTGGGGTGAGCTGATGTACGGTCAGGTTCTTAATCAAGTCCAGGTGAATGTCAGGTCCCCTCAGGCCCTGGCTGCCTCACTCAGTGTCACACACATCGTCTCCCTTTACACGTGACACAGTCGCTGATTCAGGGCCCTCCACCACAGCTGCAGAGTCTGTCCCACGATGGGATACTACAGGAGAATGACACTGTGGGTTGAGACCCAGGATCAGGTGTCACCCGTGGGGCATGGGAAGGTATCCTGGGGTAGGGGGCTGGGCAGTAGGAGCCAGGAGGAGAGCAGGTCAGGCTGTCCAGGGAGAAGCAGAAGGGGGCCCCCAGTAGGTAGGTTGTGCTGCCAAGGAGCAGGGAGCCTGGACGGAGACGCCTCCCAGGATGCAAAATAGCTCAGCCCCTCTCAGGCTGCCATCAAGAAGATCCAAAGGTGTGCCCTCCAGTCAGGGAGCCACACCGTGAGACATCAAGGCTCAGTAAGCAGAGAAATGAGGCTGGAGCAGAAGTGACAGTGGTGAAAGATCCGCAGACCCAAGGCCTGGACAGGAGTCTCCAGGATGCACGGCAGACCCATGCCAGTGCGGAGATGTCCCCAGATGTCACTATCCCAGCACCTGCGGGCCAGACCTGATACAACACCTGTTTGCTTCCTTTAATCGAGCAGAGTCCACAAAACACAGAATTTTAGAGCATGCAGCTCAGCTACGTTAACAACATTCCCATGGCTGGACAACCCTCACCATCCTGTCTCAATCAGGGTCCCAGACTGCCTTCCTTGGCCTGTGCACTACTCAGCCTGCTGTCCTGCTCCCACTGATCCCGATGAGCCGTACAGGCTGAGGGAGGACACAGGCAGCTGGTCCTGGGTGTCAGGGCACTCATATGCCAACAAGGACAGCACAGAGCCCACTCGCAACCCTATGTGCCACTCTGGATGTCCGGTACACTCAGGCGCTGCTGAATGGAGACTCCGCCTTTCAGTTTGGTTTGCCTTCATCTTTTTCTTAATAAAACTGCAAACCTCCAAATAATAAGAAAAAATACAGTCAAAGAAATGTCTACTTATTTTCACCTACTTGAAAGGTAGAGAGAGAGACACACGGAGAGAAGTCTCCCATTAACTGGTGCACTTCCCAAATGCACACAACCTACCAAGACAGGACCAGGTGAAGCCAGGAGCCAGAAACTCCATCTGCGTCTCCCATGTGGGTATCAGAGGCCCAGGGACTCAAGTCACCGAATGCTCCCTCTCAGTGCATCCAAGAGGAGCTGGATCAGAAGCAGGGCAGCCAGGTCTTCACCTGGCACCCAGATAAGAAATGGGGTTGCCCCAAGGGGAGGCTTAACCATCTGTACCTTGACATCCTCAATTTACTTTGTATTCTGACCAAGAATGCGAAATTATTAGGTGCACTGGTGAAATGAGCTTCCACTTTACTTTTTTCCTATGGGTACTATTTCTTTTAAAGATTTATTTGGTTTATTTGATAGAGTTATGAAGAGATGCAGAGGCCAAGAGAGAGAGGTCATCCCACTAGGTCGCTCCCTAAATGACTGCAAAAGCCAGAGCTGAGCCAACATGAAGCCAGGATCCAGGAGCTCCTTCCAGGTTTCCCACATGGGTGCAGGGGCCCAACGACTTCTGCCATCCTCGGCTGCCTGTCCCAGGCACATTAGCAGGGAGCTGGACTCGAAGTGCAGCACCCATATGGGATGCAGGCACTGCAGGCCAGGGATTTAACCCTCTGAGCCACAGTGCACGCCCCATCTATGAGAATGTTAACCATATAAATTGCAACAGATATATTCTAAATATTAACTGCATACAAATACACAATGCTTAACTTGGGCACTTTCAAATCTATTTCTATAAAAATACATGTCCCCTTTATAAACAGGTTCCCCATTACAGAGATGAAAACTCACTTCATTTCTATATATGTAAGCAGTTTAAGAATACTGCCAAGGATCAGGTCAATTTTTTTCCCCAAAAACGTTCTAAAGATGTCCACAGGACAAAAGAGGATTCACTACAGCCTGCTGACTTAACCCTTGGTTCACTACCCTCCTTCACAGGTACGAGATCACCCTGGATAATCTTCCCAGGGAATCAAAAATGCAATCCGTCCTCTCGTGCTGTCAGAACAACCGCGGAAAGCACACTGGGGACACTCAACCAACACCAGTGCTCACGTGACTGAGGCAGTCGTCTTGGACAACAAAGAAAGACTTCCATCCAGGATCCAGAAAAAGCAGGAGGCTGGGAGATGAAGAAGTTCTGGAAACGGGGCCCGTGTTGTGGTGCACTGGATAAAGCCACAGCCTGCAAACCCTCACATCCCATGTGGGCACTGGTTCCTGTCCTGGCTGCTCCAATTCCAATCCAGCTCCCTGCAAGTGGTCTGCAAAAAGCAGAGGAAGATGGCCCAAGTACCTGTGCCCCTGCAACACACACAGGGCACTGAGCAGAAGTACCTGGCTTCAGCTTGGACCAGGGAAGCCACTGCCACCATCTTGGGAGTGAACCAACAGATGGAAGATAGCTCTCTCTGTCTCTCCTTTTTCTGGAACTGTGACTTTCAAAATAAGAAATAAATCTTTTTTTTTTAAGATTTAGAAATTCTAGAGATGCAGATGAGCCTCAGATGGCAGATTTCCCATGCAGGGTTCTCAACACAACAAAAGGATATGGAAGAATCACAGAGCGCAAGGGCAGCGCAGCCATGTTCTTGTCAGCCCTTCAGGGAGAACCCTACGGGAGGAAGTCACGCATCGCCAACAGGATGCACACCCAGCACTCACCCCCTACCCCTCCTACACACCCAGCCCTGCCTCCTCAGCCAGCTCCCTCCATGGCCTAGCTCCTCCAAGTGCACCCTGTACTTTGGTTAATATCGACACTTGTCCTTCCCTAAGTAATACAGCAGGTGGACGAAGACCAAAAACTTGAGTCTGTTCCTCCCGTCATTCTCTCCACAAACCCTGCACATTCAGGTCATTCTCATGCCTCCACGTCCAGACTACAGATGCCAAATGGCCCACAGGACAACAGCAAGAGACTCAGGAGGCAGCAGCCCTGAGTGTCCACACATGAGACACAGCTCCTGATCCGCTGGGGGCTTGCTCCCTACAGGAACTGAGCCTGGTGACCCAGGGCCCACAAGTTATTCGGTGGTGACCCCCAAATCTCCTGCCGTGGGCTGCAGACACAGACCGCAGTGGAGACTGGGGAGTGACTGTCCTGGTGAGACTGGAAAGAGTCTGAGGTCTGAAGGAGGAAGATTCTGAGCCAAGGCTCCCAAGTGAAGCCCTGCTCCCCACTCACACACACCTGACCAGCATCCTACTGCACTCAATGCCAGCTGACCCCTGCTCAGACTCCCAGCATGCTGGGTGGACCCCCTTCAGCTCAGCTCCCAAGACCACCACTCTCCAGCCCAGTGTTCCTACCCAGCCTGACTGCTTCCCCCATGAGTGCTCCCACCCTTCAGCAGAGATCGCTCCTCTTCCTCTCCCCAACACCGGGCTTGCTGTCCCCAGAGGCCCTGCCACCTCCTCTGCCTCACTCGGGCAAAACACCCACAGCAAACACCAGCACAGCCCTTAGCATGGCCTGGCCCTGAGGTAAGCACTCACCCAGAAATGCAACAGACTCTAATGAAGTGCTATGGATACCACTGAGGAGAATCCCACAGGACTCCCAAAAATGAGTCACAGATCACGGCCCACACAATGAATAAAAGGCTCTGGACTGTGGAGAAAGCCACTGGTAGCCCAAAAAAGAGTTATAGCTCACTGCTGCCCACAAACAAGCAAAAACAGGAAATAAAAATGGAGTCACTTATGCTAAGCCAGAAGCTGATGACATCACTTATGTCAAGCTCAGCGCTTGCCAGAAAGATGCTCCTCATCAGACTGAACAGACATCCCTGGGCAGTCTGATAACCTGTATGCTACAGACGACAACCTCAAGTTACCTTCCTACTCGCACAGGGATTGGCTGCACCCCAGGAATACTGCAGATACACCCTGTCCTAAACAACAGATTGGTGGCACCCCGGGAAACTCCCAGAGGGAGCACAACTGATTGGTGACACCCTACCGCTCCTGGAGACTCTCCCTTCAAAATGACAAGGATAAAAGGATCATGGTCCCGGTGTCTGTGAACCTCTGGATCTTCACACATTCAGAGCTGAAGAGGCAGCCCGTTACACATGGATCTGTAATGGCACAAGATGACAACCGATCAAGGGCCCAGTGCATGTGAACCTCTGGATCTCCTTACACATGGAGCTTAAGAGCCAGCTCACTAGCCCCCTTGCTAAGCAACACACGGTGACTACAGGACCAAACCCCAGTGGAGCCACCGCCTCGCCTGGACCCCTTATCAGCCTGCTGCCTGGCCTGACCACACAGCTGGACCAGACCTCTCAGCAGGGGACCTCTCCAACTCCTTATCTTGTCGTTCCCCTGGGAACTCCTGGCTTCTGCTCAGAGTGACAGCCATCCCACTACTGCATGCCTGTAAGTGACTGTTCTGAGATCCATCTCTCCGAGTGGTAATGAGACTCTGGACTCTGGACTTTGAACTTTCACTTTTTGGGAATGTGATAGGAACCTTAAGAACACAGCATTTATAATGATATTAGCCATATGTAATAGGAAGGAATGTGCCTCGACCCTATGATTAAGAATGTCTTCTGCTTCGCTGTACTTATATTATTACAGTTGGACTGCCTTTGAGATTGCTTGATGCCAGGTGTGTGTTATGATGTGTGGAGTAATGAACATAACTACAGAGATTGGTTTGCAGTGGGAAAGCCCTAGTGTGAATTGGAGTGAGCAATAAAAAGCCTTTCATTGGGAAGACAGTGTCGTCTCCGTGTGTTCCTTCTTCCCTATGCTCCGACAATTCACCCTTGAGCCCTGTCGAAATGCGTGACAGCAAACACTCACTACATACCACCACCACTGCTAAACTCGGGAGACACCCACACTGTACATTCACTCCATTACAATTAGTAACACCTCTACAGCACACCCTACCCCACAGGCCCCACAACTCTCAGGTGGACACGGCTCCCCCACTACTGCAAAAACCGTCTCCATAAGCCACTGCCACTTCTACAGATTCCTCCAAGTAATTCTAAGAGTAAGGCAGTGCTATCCAACTCTACCAGACCACTCTTCCAACTCCTGGACCCTCAGCTCCAGGGCAATCTCTAGGAATTCACCCTACTCAGATACCCTTTTTTATCCTCTGTTCACATCTCTCGCTTTAAAGCACTGTACCCCGTTGCTATCTTTTGTTGTGATATTAGCCCTTGACTTTGTCAGAAACCAGCCAAACCGAATGGACCCATAGCAGAAGACTTCTCTCAGCACTCTCTCTCTTCTGGGTTGCATGCTTTACTACGGTCTGCTGCTTCTAACCTGCTGCCCTTTTTGTGGTCCCCAATTCTATATATCTCTCACATCCTCCCAAAGCCTCTACACAGCTCTCATCAATGCTTCCTCTCGTCTCTTCTTTGAACATAACCCCACCATCACTTCATGCGGGATCTGTACATACTCTTCCCACTTCCCAGCCAGTCTGGACAAAGGCCACAGGACTGAAGGGATACCCTGTACTTTCCCCAAAATAGGAAGAATTCAACCAACCTTATATACCTATCAAAGGCATTTTCTCTGTGCTTCGCTGACAGGTCAAGCCCTTAAACGCATCCTACGTGTTCCCTTCCCTTTTTCCATGAAGCAGGATCACTGTCCCACAAACTCTACAACTGGACGATTACTCTCCCAGCCTCCCCTGTTTCCTCCATTTCCTTCCCCTACTCCCACAGGTTAGCGAAATTAGCCACAAAGGCAAATACTCCCACTCTAACTGAACCATCACTGTCAGGACCCAGCCCAAGGATGCATTGGTGAACATGCGGGGGACCATAAATAGAAGCATTCTTGCTCTGTGGCATCTAGCTGTACAACTGTCTTCCCATGAACTGGACAGGCACGTGTCCTCTCACGTTCCTATTTCACCCTTTCTCCTATACTCTCAACCAGACTTGATGTCCCATACCTCAAACACCCCATGTCAAGAGTGACTTGGACTTAGCAACCCTTCTTCCTTGTTGGGTGTTTTTTGCCAGGGATTGGGCCAGGAGCAGCCAGACTGGCAATTTCAGGAGACAAGACAAAGAAATACAAAGAATTATGTCTCACTCTCAAAGAAAACATAAATGACCCAGCACCACACCTGTCTCACTTCCAAGACCAGGTAGAGTCCTGTCAGCAGTGGTCCTGCAAAATCACTGAGGATTTAGACGTCCTCACCTCCAAAAAAGGAGGACTTTGCCTCTGGGTAAAGAGTGTGGGTGTGGCGAGTGCCGCCATAGCTCAATAGGATAATCCTCCACCTGCTCGCCAGCACACCAGGTTCTGGTCCCGGTTGGGGCGCCGGATTCTGTCCCAGTTGCTCCCCTTCATTCCAGCTCTCTGCTGTGGCCCAGAAGTGCAGTGGAGGATGGCTCTAGTGCTTTGGCCCTGCACCCGCATGGGAGACCAGGAGGAACCACCTGGCTCCGGGCTTCGGATCAGTGTAGTGCGCCGGCCCCAGTGGCCATTGCGGGGTGAACCAATAGAAAAGGAAGACCTTGCTCTCTGTGTTTCTCTCTCTCTCAGTGTCCATTCTGTCAAAAAAAAAAAGAGTGTGGCTTGTACACCAGTCAGTCAGGTGCTGTGAGAGATGCTATTGAGCACATTGAAAAGCATGCTAATGAAATGTAAGAATGCATTACAATACCCTTGCCACATCTTAGCCATCTTTGCCACTCTGGGTAACTTTTCTACTACTTTCTTTTTTCCTCATAATCACGGTGCTTTATTCTTATGATATATAATTGCACATTTCAAAAGTGCTCACAGGAACCAGTGACTGCTAGATCCCAAGACATCCCTCAGGAACATCACAAGACTGCTCTTCTTCTCCAGTCACTCTGGACTACAGCCCTGCATCAGCAGGAAGTGGCCAATAGGACACCAGCACCCATCTCTCTCTCTGTCCTGGGAGTAGGAATACAGGACCTTGAGCAACATCATGGGCAGAAGAGATGCCGTGTTACAGCCACATCACTGCCTCAAGAGTTCAACCATTATCCCCAGCACTCTGGAAGGTTGAAAAAGCCAAGGCAAACCATCTCAGCTCTGCCTAATCCCTGCCCAGCCCGAACCAAAAGTACCCAGGCTAGATAAGCCCCAGTCTCTACCAGAACGTGTCCCGACCCTCGCTAGTAGTGGGCCCTCAGGTCTGTCTCTGAATAAACAGTCTCTAGCTACTGAGTTCGTAGTTTGTAGTCTGTCTTCCCTGTGTCTTGTGCATATTGTCTAAAACACCACCAGGGAAAGAGCAAACCAGACAACACCAGCATTCAGTCCTCGGTCAGGGGAAACCATTAGATGGATTCCCGGCAAAGGAACATTCCGTGTGTTTGAGTTTAGTTGCTTATTCATCCACTGATCCACTCCCCACACACATGCAATGGCACCAGGGGCGAGCCAAGAACCAGGAAGTCACCCCAGATCTCCCTGACAGGTGGCAGTAACCCAAGCATTTCAGCCTTAACCCCCCAGGATCTCTTTAGCAGGAAGGTGATACACATGAAACCCAGGCACTCTGATACTCTGATGTCCCAACCACAAAACACAATGCTCACACCCCACTTTTATTCCCAAATAAAACACCACTCACCTGGACGGATACTAAAATGTCCTGCCAACAACACCTCAGCCAGCACACGTCTGGGCCAAGACTTCAACTCAGATGAGACTGAAACCGCAAGTTGTAACCAGGAACCTATAGGAGGAAAACACCCTCATGTTTCAACTGCCTTGGAGAACCTAAGAACCAATTCACACCTACCAGATGACAAAGAGAAAGATGTCTGCTGCTAGCAACACAAACTTTGGGATTCTCTACTGAGTCCACCGTGACCTCAGCCATAAGACCAAAAGGGCCTCACTTAGAAATGAAAGCTTGAAAGGGCTGGGCCCTGTTGGCAACCAGTCCTCTGCCTGTCACGAGCTGTTCAACCACAGCCCTGACACAGACAATAAAGATGCTTCCTGCTCCCCCTCTTCCATGGCTTATAAAGGAAAGGGGACCCCTAAAGTGAAAGTAGGGCAATGCCAGGGCTGAGCAAAGATCAGCAAGGGGGCTCCAAAGTCAAGTCCACTTGCTGTGCTGGGGCACACTGTCCCCTAAACTGCTCCAGACTACTTGGAAAAAAAAAAAAAGAGGGTTCCTTTTTGTATGTAGGATCCAAACTGAGGAGGCCCTCCCTTAGTACCATAATGGGGAGGTGGAGGGCTCAATCTAAGGCGCTGTGGAAGAGGTAGCTGTGATCCAGACACGCACCCTTGAGGGCAGCCAGGGCCTCCACCAAGACCACCATCAACACCATGACCTCCCCCGGGAGTCAGGAGCCACCAAGGGAATGAAATGGCCTGACCCCAGATCAAGGCAGTCAGCTCACCCTGTCAGTGCTCATCACCAATTTCATAGTGTCCCATGTCTACAGGGAAATACACTTCATTGTGTCTATTCATTCAAAATAGGCCCAGCACTCAATGTCAAGTCTACCATTGCTTTAAGAAAAACAAAGAGCCAACTGCAGTCCCCTCTCCTTGTCCCCACCCTCCCAGGGAGAAGCCCCAGAGCAGGTGGGCCTCAGAGGCTCTAATTCAGCCCCTTCCCAAGAAGAGCTCACTGCCCAGAGAGGAGGGGAGTGAGGCCTTCCAACCAGGCTCTGCTGGGGGGGGGGTGTTTATCCAGACACCCACCAGGTGCAGGCCTCTTTCTGCTCTCACCCAGACAGAGCACCTCCATCCCACAGCCTTGCTTTACCCTCTGTAATATGGAAGGTCTGATGGAGACCACGCATTGGCCTCCTTGCCACTCTAAACGTCTGTGCCCATTTTGCTTGCATGTCCCCACATCTCTGGGAACAGCAGATCCTCCCTTAAAGTAGGCAACGCCCACCCAATCCAGCTTGCTGCTGAGAGGGGCCAGAGCTTTTCTGGAATCCAGGCTGAGCCCTTGCCCCACCCTCTCCCAGGGCCTCATTCTAGACCCAGCCCCCTCCTCAGACAGCCAGCCTCTCATTTAATCCTCCCTGCACACCTGGCCACAGGAGAGACAGGCCTCCAGTCAGCACCTGAAAACCCCACCTCTCTCCCAGCCAGCAGGGGTCTACACCTGCCTGCAGAGAAGAAGGCCCTGCAATCCCTGAAGGGAAGTGGCTGCATGCTCTGCCCCACCGCAACTGTGCAGGAAGAGCCCAGCAGGTCGGCCAGCACTTACCAGTGGTCCGGGGGTGGCACAGGCCGGGGACAGGTGCCAGGCGTGGGCACTGCAGACACAAAGGCGCTATGGCGGTTTCGGCGTCTGGGATGCCAAAAGAGACTTCCAGCACCCAGGAGCACAGGAGAGAGCAACCCCATGCTCCCTGGGCACACAACATAAAGGTCCTGAGCCCGGAGTCCGCCACCAGCTTTCGACCGCCAGGGGGCGTCTGCTTCAGCATTGGTGCAGGCCACTGGCAACTGACATTTCCAGGGACCCCGCAGGCAGCAGCAGTTTCAGGAATCCAGAACCATGACCTCAGTCCCCAAAGCCGGGTTGGGGTGTAAAGGCCCCCATTGACCGCGATGCTAAGAGTAAAGCAATGCAAGCAGCAGCCACGGGACTCGGCCCAGGAAGCCACCGGGAGCTGGCATCCCAGCCCCTCATCTGCGGGCACCATGCGGGGAGGGGTGCGGGGAGTGCCCCAGCATGGGGGCCTGCGTGTGGGCTGTAAATGCCAACTACTCTGTTAGAAACTTCTAATAAAGTATTTAGGGGGAAAGCTTCGGATACCTCCAAGGAAGCCTGATGAAGAAAATGTTTCCAAAATGGCGTCCCAGAGGGAGGAAAGGACGCCATCGTCATGGCGGCCTCCTCTTTCCGTTACCCGCTGCTGTGGACCATTCGGGACTCGCCAGGGACGCTGGGAGGCAGCACATCCGGGTGTCCGCAGTCAGGGTCCACTAGCTTCAGGCGTCCCCACATGCCGAAGTGAAAAGTAGGCCATGGGAAGAAGGGTTCCCCCAAAGAAACTACCCCCATCATCTGCCTGGGCTTCTGCAGCAGGGCGAAGGGCATGGCCAAGGCCAGCCACAGACCAGAGGGCCCCTCCTGCTTCCGCCCGGGCCAATCTTCATACTTCCTCAGTTCAGCAAATGGCAGCCGTCTCCTCCCCTGGCGGAGAACTGCACCGCGCTGTGAGGAAAGCCTAGCTCAGGTCTGCAAGATCTGACTCAAACTGGCTTCTTGCTGCTTCGGTGGTGGTTTGTGGCGGTCCAGCCACGCTGAGTTCAGTGTAAAAAATTCTGCTCCCCGGGCACATCAGGAAAACAAGCTCTAGGCAGTTTACAATCCCTGCCCCTGTTCCACATCTCCCCTCCCCATTTCGCCCAAATCCTACACATTAGGCTACAAGGTGCCCCCTGAGACATTTCACTCCCACTCTGGGGGGTAAAGCACGAAGTCATGCTTTTGTAACTACTTCTTGTTGATCCTGGACATGGCCCAGGCTGGTGGAGAGACACTCTCCTACTCAACATCAACAAAGGACTTCAGACACCGGGTGTAGCCCCCAGAGGCTGTGGGCAACAGGGCAGGCGTCTAGAGGCATCCTCACCTGACATTCAACGTGGCGCCCTGTTGAGCAGCAGTCTGAGGTCTGACAGGGGCTCTCCAAGGAGCCATCCGGGGTGCAGGAGAGACAAGGAACTTCCCTGCTCTCAGCTGTGGTGACTGCAAGGAGTCCCATGGAGAAGTTTAGGAGAACAATCAGTGGTAAACAGCGCCAAGTGTGGTCCTGCCCAGAAGGAGTTAAACTGCTCCTGAAGAGAGCTCAGTTTACAATCAAGGGGGTGGGCTGCCTAGTGTGTTGGTGAGACTAGGTCTGAGGTGCACATCAGATGAGAGCAGCCACTACCTGTCCTCATTGTGTTGTCTTGTTCTCATTTCCCACCTTTGGCAGGTTAAGGGGCCAGCCCAATTGGGAAAGGGCCTTCCATAGATAATTCAAAGGGGCTGAATCCTAATTCCTTTTTGTGGCTGCTCTAACACAGGCTAAGGCACTTGGAACAGACCTTTAAGCACTTCTCATGAATTTCTTGGCAAAGGCTAACTGATTTATATGTAGGGTCTCACTGGATGGTTTCCAGACAATTGGGGTCTCCAGGCAGCAAGTCATTTGTACCTTATGCCTAAAACCTAGGGACTCCAGCCATCTTGGAAACCAAAACCTATCCATTACCACTTTGTCAATGATATGCAGCCCACATCTCCAATTTCCCTCTACAGACTTTTATACAATATTATTTCTGGGAAATAGACACAGATATCACACATGTGCTGATTCACCCCTGAAATGCCACTACTGGGGCTGGGCACTCAATTGAGGTCTGACACATGGGTGGCAGGGACCCAACCAGTTGAGACAGCATGTGCTGCCTCCCCAGGACTACATACACAAGAAGCTAGACTCAGAGTGGAGGTAGGCCTGGAACCTTAGCATCACCATGTGGGATATGTGTAACCCCACAGTGTCCAACCTCCTGCTTCAAATCCCACCCTGAGAAGCTTTCAATGCCTTAGACATGCACTGCTGCTCCATCCTGACTTAGGCCAGGAACGTCTGATTTCATAGCCAGTCTCTTCCCAGGTGGGATGCAGAGCTCAGGAAATGTGGGAGTCAGAACTTTTAAACCAGGCCACAGGGCAGAGGTTCCACTCCTCTCTCTGTCTGCTCTCACTGAAACTCCTTTAACAGCTCATTTTGTGACTCCAGTGTCCATCCTCTATCTCTCCAACTCGTCCTATCTCTAGGGTAGCCAAGGGCTTCACACCGGATTTGGATTTTATCCAGAGGCCATCTGCAGAGCCAGTAACCCATTGGACTTCTTCTGTTGAGGGGAGCTGAGCCCTTCCCATCTGGGGACACCTGGGCCACTCCTCACCAGTGTCCTTCCAGCTTGCTGTAGGCACATGGGCGAGGCTCTAAATTAGCCACTGACATATGGATGGGCGCTTTGTGGTTTCACGCTCACCCCCATGTCAGTGTCCCTCATCCTACTGGGGTCCCTGGAATATACAGGAGAGCCAGCAGCAAGCCAGCAGCCTGCCTCCACATCTTTCTACCCATGTAGATATTCTCCATGTTGATATTCTCCATGTTATGACTTACGAAACACAGTAGGCAGTGTCCACCAATAAAGAGGAATAGCCTTAGCACTGATGGTGTTTAGGTTTTCTGGACACTCTGAGATAGGCAGCACCTGTTAGAACCACCCGACTTCCCTGGGCATCAGGGTCCCAGGAAGCCTGCTTTCTATCCTATCCTCTTTGGGATGTCAAGTTACAAGAGTCAGTTGGGGGATGGCTTAAGTCCAGATTCCAGCTTAGAAAAGTGTCTGTCTCCCCCTCCCCCTATGGACAGGTACACAAAACTGGTGAAACATGAAAGCCTCTAGGGATGGGGGAGCAAGAAGAATAAAATCCCAGATGTACCTCAAGTGCTGGGAAGGCAAAGCCAACATCACAGTCATCCATTGAGAAGCATGAAATTCCCTCTATATTTCTACCTATAGAAGGCAGAGGTCTCTAACCCTGAATAAAGTGGCCCCATGCTGTGAAGCAGGGAAGGTCAGACCCAGCAAACCACAGACCAGGCTCAGGGGTTCTCAGACCTCTCCCTTTGCACTCCTCTGTCTCCCAGGGGAGAACCTGACACCAGCATTCTGACGTCCTGGCAATGGCTGTCCCTTTCTCCTCCACAATTCTGAACTGATGCTGAACTTCCGGTCCTGGCAATCATGTCTACGATAAGGAAGACACTTATCAAACTGCCCAAATGACTCAGCCCTGATTCCCGTGAGATGCTGGACAAACAGGAGTGCAGGTGAACGTGCACCTCTCAGCTCTCTGCATCAGCTGCTCAGCATGGCCAGGTCCCAAGCCACACCTGAGTGCCATAAGGTAGACTAAGTGTCCCCAAGACTAAGTGCTCCTGGATGTGCTGCTGCCACCATTGCTCAGATCTTGGTGATGGACAACTTGACCCAGGATGCAGCAAGTGTTACCCACAAGCTGCCTGGCACTCTTCAATCTGACAATACCAACTGCTTTACTCCCAGTTCCCAGAAACCCCTACCCCAGGTTAGGAACCATCTCACATCTAGAGTGTTTGTGCATCAGTACAGGTGACGCCAGGCCTAGGGGTTCCTTGGCACTACACAACTGATGGCATCTGTTGCAAGCACATGCTAGAATGATCCCCAGAAACCACAAGAGAGACTGAGAATGTCCAGAGAGGGACGATGAACTGTGCAGGCTCACACTTGTACAAAGATGAGAGAGCAGGTCCAAGCCCAGCTGTGGCACTGTCTGGGCCCAAGCCAGCCCTGTGGCAGGTGCTGCCTGTATTGGTGCAACTGTGGACAGTGGGTACATGGCGTAGGGGTAAAAGTAGCATAGGCAGTGCCCAAGTAGAATCTGAGGATATCTTGTGTGAGGAGGGGGCTCAGCTTAGGAGCCACAGGAAGTGACCTCACTACGTTGGTGATGACCTAGAGAACTGGGTGCCCCAGCAACCACCCCAACATTCCAGAGTTGAGTCTAAGCCAGCTCACCTGGATAGAGTCTCGTAGCAAGATGTTCCTGAGTTGTATCCCGCGATGCCGAAGCCCAGGCCCCAAGAAACCCTGCTGTGGGCGCCTCGCCCAGTGGTGGGGACGCTGGGCCAGCCCTCACCCCCGATGCTCCTGGAGCTTCAAGCAGAAAAAGGCCAAGGTGAGTCTGGCAGCCAGGGCAGCTCTCTGCTGACCAGGACACCACTGAGACCCCACTGGGAGCCAACAGGCCCGTGGGTGTGGGTGGACATGGTCCACTTCACCCTTGGAGGAGGGAGCCTGAGTTAAGAGGCGGGGGCAGCCTGAGGCCCAGAGCTGCTGGCTGTGGAGGGATCCAGGGACTGCCTCTTACCTGCCATTCTCTGCTCTTGTCTCCCAGGTCCAGGACAGGGCAGCCTCGCACCTGGCACAGCACAGCGGGCTGGGGATCTCAAGCAGCCCAGACAACCGTAGGCCAACTAAAACTGATGACCTGTGTGTAGTGGGGGAGTGGTCAAACTCACCCACAACTCCAAAGCTCATGTATCGGGCATTCCCCCAGGCGCACAAGCCACCTGAGGGCCCCCTCAGTCACTTAATCTTGGTAAAGGCCCAGATAGAGCCCAGGGGGTCCGCAAATGCCCATCTCACAGTGGAGGCACTGGGGCTCGACGACTTCGCCTGTTCCAGATGGGAAGCAAGCTCAAGGCTGGGCCTGGAACCTGACCTGACAGCTGGGGCAGAGCAGAGCCATGACCTTCAAGCAACAACCCCACTGGAGCAGTCATGGCCCTCCAAAGATGAGTGGGGGACAGCTGTGTCCCCAGCTGCAGCCAAGGAAACTGCAGAAGCACCAGACACAGCACTGGCCCTGGCCTCAGCCCCAGCTCCGCAAGTCCCTTCTGCTGCAGCCCCAGTGTCACACCTGTCCTTTCCCGCCCCGGTGTTCCTGTATTTCTCTTTAATCCTCCCCATTGTGTTCCTTGTCTCCACCTTATTGTCGCTTTACCAAAATAAAATTTAATTGATTACCCACTGCGAAATGTGCAATTCACACCATGCGAACTCCCCATACTGTGCCCTCCCCACCCCACTCTCCCTGCACCATGGCCCCAATGCCAGGGACCTGGAGCCTCTGGAGAGGACATGGGCACCTCCCCAGGGGCAGAGCCAGGGTTCCCCGCTTGGATAAAGAGCACCAAGTGCTGGGACAGCCAAGGAAAGCAAAGAACAGGGAGACGCTTGCGCGGCTGTGGCAGTGCCTCCTCATGCTCAGGGACATGGACTCTGAGGTCACAGATCTGACCTGCAGTGGGTGTTCTCCCTGCAGCCTCAGTGTCCTCATCTGTGAGATGGGAAGGCAGCCCTGCCACAGCCATCACCGGCACAGGGAATGCGATGCTCTGCACCTCCCTGCACACATTGGGACCCCTGCTTCCAGTATGAGGAGTACACAAGAAAGGGAAAGGGTCCTTACACTGAAGGCACAGTTTGGGTCCTGGGGCCACACACACACACAGAAGCCATCACAGTCTCTGTCCCTGCACTCAACAATGGGTCACTGGCAGAAGGATCCGAGCAGGGATTTGCTCACTGCTCAGGAGACAGGGGGGCCTTGTCTGGGACCCCATGTGCCCCAGACTGCCTGGTGTGCAGGTGACATGGGTGGGTCTTGGCTGGGAACATGGAGACACAGAGGATGTCCCCAAGCACAGTAACTGCTCTTTCCTGAGCTCCTGGGATTTCCCAGCCCCTGGCCAAGCACACGGGTGACCACGTCTCAGCCATGGGGAGGCACTGCTGTCATTCCCAATTTGCAGATGAGGAACCCCTTGGGAGGGCCCCACCCAGGTCACGGCTGTGCTGATCCCACATGAGGACTCCCCTCCCCACCGTAAGCCCAGACTGTCAGGCCCCGATGACCCTGTGGGCAAACAAGAGGGCAGTACAGCAGGCCAGGAAGGAGTGGGAAGGGTAGGACTTTCTCCAAGACATCATAGCCACAGGGATTTACTTAACAGGCTTCTCAGCTGATCCACTAGGGCTGAGGGATGCCTGTGGAGGAGGAAGCTGGGGCACTGGAATGCTGACCTGTGTGTGTTCCTGGGAATGGCCTGGATCACACCCACTGACAGCACTGGCCCCATGACTGTCCCTCTGGATAATGTCCCAGATCACCTGCTGCCTGTGCACCCTGCACACCTGGAACCTGGAATCCAGGTCAGGCCAACTGGAGGGAGTGGGTGGCACTGGGTGCACCTGTCCTGCAGAGTGCCAGGCAGCTCAGTTTGGCTGCCTTGGCAGGGAGGGCCCCAGGGATTCTGTGCTCCCCAGCACTGGGAGGGCACAGAGTGGGGTGTCCACCACTCAGGACAGACGATGTCCCCATCTCAAGGTCATGAGCTCATGGTCATGTTAGTTCCAGGTCCTGGGGTCTAATAGCTGGAGCCCACCCCCAGGAGGCTGAGCTGAGGGTCATCTCACCATGTCCAGTGGTGCAGCCTGATGCCCTGATGAACTGTAGGGTCCTAGAGAGACAGGCTGCCCCAGGACAGTGGACAGAGCGGGCAGAGGCCAGAGATGCAAGCCCTGGGCTGTTGTGGGGAGAGGTGAGTATGAACAGCTGAGGGGCTGAGCCCCTGCAGGCCTCTATCTTTGCACGCGTCTCTCACTGTGTCCTGACCACTCAGTGACATGGGCATGTGAGGTCCCCACTGAGGCTAGAGGCCCTGCTCTCTGCAGTCTACTCAGCAGCAGAGCCAGGTTTAACACAAGGAGAAGCCAGAAACCCTGGGACTCCCTTGAAAATGAAGCTGCACCCAGATGCCTCTGGGGACCAGCTGCCCTGCCTACAGGTAAACTTAAGTAGGCCCAACAGACATGTGTGCACCAGAAAGCGCTCTGCCACCCAGGATTGCGCCCTCCCCAGTGTGCTAGCCTCAAGTTCACATAGCAGGACAGGCAGACAGACATCTGGACCTGGAAAGTCTTCTGTATTTCCCTGGTGGTGGGAACATCTGGGCAGACGACAAACACAGCAAATGATGCTCTAAACATCCAATGACCATGACAGAAAATGAGCCTCCACACCTCTCATTTAGTTTTTCACCTCATGAATTCTAAAATGAAACCTAAAATAAAGCATCAAAAACATAAATGTTGAGTCAAAATATAAATCACATGGAAGACAATTTACAAAATGTTTCTAACTTGGAGTGACTCGCAGATTATGAGTGCATCACAACTATGATAGATAATAAAAAGATATAAGGTAATTTCTCCAAATTTCAAACATTTGTGATTCAAAAAACACATTTTCTTTTTTTTCTGACATGCAGACTGGACAGTGAGAGTGAGAGAGACAGAGAGAAAGGTCTTCCTTTACCATTGGTTCACCCTCCAATGGCCGCTGCGGCCAGCGTAACGTGCTGATCTGAAGCCAGGAGCCAGGTGCTTCTCCTGGTCTCCCATGTAGGTGCAGGACCCAAGCACTTGGGTCATCCTCCACTGCACTCCCGGGCCACAGCAGAGAACTGGACTGGAAGAGGGGCAACCGATACAGAATCCAGCACCCCGACTGGGACTAGAACCCGGGGTGCCGACGCAGCAGATGGAGGTTAGCCTATTAAGCTGCAGCATTGGCCAAAACACATTTTCAATGTGAAAAAACATCACACAGATTCAGAAAAAATATTTTAAAATCATGTATCTAACAAGATCTTCTGTCCACAAAATATAAGGAACACTTACAACTGAATAATAGGAAAATGAACAACTCAACCAACCAGGAGTCAAATATTCAAATGTGCATCTCTTCTAAGATAAGCCCAGAAAAAGTTGCTCAACATCATCTGGACCCAGGGAAAAGCAAATGGAAGCCACAGTGTGAACCAACTCTCCCCTACTTGAGTGGCAGGAGTTTAAACAATGGGGAGGAACCAGAGTTATAAAGGATATGGACAAACAGACCTCACCCATTGATGGTGAGAGTGTGAAATGGTGCAGCCACTGTAGTGTTCAAGCAGTTGTCCCCAAATGGAGATATGAAGAGTTACTGTCGGACTCAGCTACTCCATTCCTAGCTCATACTCAAGATGACTGAAAATACTTGTACCTAGACAAAAGTACCCAGGTAGACATAAGTTGGTATCTGTTAATAAGAACCTAGGATATAAATGGGTTAAATTCTCCACTAAAGGATACCGACTGGCTGAATGGATAAAGACCAACACTCAAGATACTGCCTGGAAGAAGCCCATTTCAGACACACATTACATCAGGATAAAAGAATCTGTCAGAAAGAGCATCTAACAACTGGAAATACATACATGCACCTGAAAACAACACCACCTAAGCATGGAATACAAACAATATTGGTTCTAAAGGGAGGTAGAGACCCCACAACAATAGGAGCTGGGGACTTCACCATCAGGTTATCTAGGCAGTCTAGAAGCACTAGACTTACGAAGTGCTACAAACCAAACGGACTCATCATTTGTGGAACGCTGCCTCTGGATCCTCAACTGCAAGACAGTGCTTAACCACAGAACCTAACTCTATCACTTTTGGGAAGAACAAATTGATTAAATGAAAAGAACATGGAAGAAAACCTGGTCATAACGAGCACACAACATACTCATCAATGCTGTGGGTGATTCATATTGGTATTAAAAAAGAAATCAAAACAGAAGAAAGACTGAAATCTAAGACCTGAGCCTTTGAAACAATTAGAAGAAAACACAGGGGAACTGCTTCCGGACAGTGCTACGGGCAAGGATTTCTTAGATCAGATCCCAAGAGCACAGCATACCAAGCCAACTAGCGGACAAATGGGATTTCACCAAATTAAACAGCTTCTGCACACCAAAGGGAACAATATGTGCCAGCCAACATCTGGCATAGCAGTTAGTAAAGTCAATATAAAACACAACTAACAGCAAAAGCAAAAAACCAACAATAAGTAAGTCAGATTAAAAATGGCCATAGATAGAAATTGACATTTCTTAAAGGAAGACATCTCACTGGTTCTATTCCACAGCACAGGGGGGGACTACAGATACTGTGAAATACTGTACAAAAGTGCTGAACACTAAACTCAGAGAGATACAAAGCAAAACCACAATGGGATACCAAGAGATGAAAGATAACAAGTGAGGATG